GCGGTGAACACGCTATGGTATCTATCATTTATCAAAAATGATGTATATATATATAAATAAACACTTATATGTATCATATATATATATATATATTATACACATTACATATGGTATATGGTATCTATCATTTATCTATCTAATCATATGTATAATATATAAATTAAATGATTAATTTCTGTATCTATTATCAGTATCATGCTATGATTTATGATTATATCTAATAAATGGCATGGAAATAATAGGACAGCAAAATATGACAATCATGCTCATGATTTGCTTCGACTTTCTGGTTGCAACTAGCTTATAACTGGTGATTATCAAATGGGGTACCAAAAAAGATGGATGATTAACAATTTGCGCAATGCTAAACCTGACAAAAATGCCTTTTGATGGGTGCATTGCATATTTTGGGAAATTCCGGTTTGTCCAGGTGCTACCCCAAAATGGCTATTTTGTAGGGAACATGATAAACAGGACGACATCGGTGTGGATCAAAATTGGGCTATGAATCCTTGTCAATGCCCGAATATGAGGTCTCAAATTTTGACCCACATCCAGGTGCTTGGATTCGTTGATCTGGGGCCACCCAGAAATAGACACAAGTCTCCATAGATCCCCAAACGGGTGGGTGTCACATTGAGAACACGAACGATTAAGCAAACCGATGCACTATGTATGTATGTATGTATGTATGTAAATAGTTATGAATGAATGAATGAAGGAAGGAAGGAAGGAAGGAATGAATGAGTGAATGAATGAGTGAATGAATGAATGAATTAATGAATGACTGACTGAATGTATGTATGTATGCATGAATGTAAAATTGAATGAAGGAATCAATTGCATGAATGAATGAATGAATGAGTGAATGAATGAGTGAGTGAATGAATGAATGACTGAATGAATGACTGACTTAATGAATGACTGACTGAATGTATGTATGTATGCATGAATGTAAAATTTAATGAAGGAACCAATTGCATGAATGAATGAATGAATGAATGAATGAGTGAATGAATGAGTGAATGAATGAATGAATGACTGAATGAATGCATGAATGAATGAATGAATGAATGAATGAATGAATGAATGTGTATGTATGTATGCATGTAAGTAAAATTGAAAGAATGAAAAAATGAATGAATAAATGAATGTATGTATGTATTTCTGTATGTATGAAAGTAAGTAGGTTTGTACGTACGTAGATAGGTAGGTAGGAATGTATGTATGTAAAATTGAATGAATGAATTCATTGAATAAATGAATGAACGAATGAATGAATGAATGATTGATTGATTGATTGATTTGAATGATTGAATGAATGAATGAATTGAATTGAACTGAACTGAATTGAATTGAGTTGAATTGAATTGAATTGATTGAATGAATGAATGAATGATTGAATGAACGCATGTATGTATGTATGTATGTATGTATGTATGTATGTATGTGCGTATGTATGTACGTACGTGTGTATGTATGTACGTCTTTAGGCACTTACGTGCGTATGTGCGTATGTAACGTGTGTATGTATGTACGTATGTATGTATGTATGTAGGTAGGTAGGTAGGTTGTTAGGTAGGTAGGCAGGTAGGTAGGTCGGTGGGTAGGTAGGTAGGTAGGTAGGTAGGTAGGTAGGTAGGTAGGTAGGTAGGTATAATATTGTTACAAACGCAGTTGACCATCGTGATCCCATTGAATTTGCAATTGGGTTTCCTCTATTCTGTGATGCACCCAAAAAATGGGCTTCCATGCTTCAATGCCAGCTACTGGTTGCTTCAACAAAACTAGCCATGGTTTTGGAGAGTAGCAAAATTGTACATAAACTTATCTCGTGCTGTTTCATGATTTATCCTGTATTGCATCGTTGCAAAGAAGTCCCAGATCAGAAATACAAATCTTTTCTGGGGTAATCTCCGAATCAGCCCCAGATTATTGAATTGGCATTGGTTGATTTGAGGGGTTTACCCAACAAATAGTGATCACTCTGAAAACTCGTGCCCGCCATCCCTCAGCGTTTGCTATGGACTGAACGAACCTCTCGAAATGTCTCACCCAGCTCCGGGGATCAACCAGCAAATTTCAGGGCGTCGCAGAATTCTCAGAGTATTCGCTACTGAATAGTTAGTACACTTTATTGACCAAGGAAAAACTGCAACAAGCCACCGGTGAATGAGCGGAATGAGAAAAGTTCACCAACATCAACCATCCACCAAGCATTTGGCAGCGATTTTCTCAATCATCCGATGGGTATACGCCATGACCTTGCGGATTCCACCTTGAGAATGAACAAATCGTTGCCATGACTCTCTGTATATGCATCAATCCATCAATGTATCAAATGGCATATATATATAAGATCATCCATCCATTCATATTTGATGAGCATGCATGTTAACGCCACAATATCTTCATGGTTCTCCCGTGACATTTCCATGATATGCCACTGTTCATCCAACAGGCGCCCATGGGTGCCTTGCGCGAAGCGTCTCGCACATCTCCCTGTGGCCTTGCGTGATTCATTTTCCCCATGACAGCCACAAAAAAGATAGACACTTTACTGTCATTGGAATCGGTGGCTTGCCAAGTTCATACATTTCAGCTGGCTCAGCGGCAAGCTTTGACAAATATCAGAGCTATTTTTAGACCGAAGGTGAACATAGGTGAACATGTCTACCAGCTTCAATGGAATACTCGGGCCAGTAATCCCTCTACCCTCGTAGAAACGAAACCCTAGCGGCCTTGCAGAATGTCTTGAACCTATTCAATCTGTTGACTTTGTCCGTTTCGGAGAATCCCTCGAATTTCATGATCTTGGGGATCTGGGATTGATCAAATTGCACATGTTGATCCATGGCTATCAATTTCTTTTGCCTCCGTGCGTCAAGCTGGTCGGGAGTAGCCGTCCGAGAACAACAAACGACCGGCTCCACACCACTAATTTGCTTGCACAAGATTGGCCCAGGAACGGTCTGTATAGGTTGGTACAGGCTGGTATATGATAGCTCTTATTCTAGATAAGTATCATATATATATATATATGTACAACAGTAATATGTTGACGATCTATCTAACCATCTATCCAACAAACGAATTAGATAATTATCAATCTGTCTGTCTGTCGGCCTGCCTGCCTGCCTGCCTGCCTGGATGTATGTATGTATGTATGTATACAGATGTATATATATATAGATTATCCATATGTATATAAAAATGTATTATACATGGTCCCGTGTCTCGTGTTCACGACACCCCCAAACACCTTGAATTATTATGTTTTCTAGATGTCAAGCCCACAAAAGCAAAAAAACAGATGTAAAAAACTAAACAAAACCAAGCATGAACTTCAGACCAAACATTCACTGAAAAGTCTTGTTTTTTTGGGTTGTCTCGAGGTTTTGGTTGTAATGCAAACCCACATCCTTCAAGAGTAGCAGCAGTAGGTTCATCAAGATATTGCATAATTGCAAGTTGGATGAGTAAGCAAAGCACACACACACACTTGCAAGTATGCAGATTAAATCAGACACAATTTCTACTCAGCCACCTGCCATCGACATCGTCTAGGTATGCATATTTTGTTAAGGTTCTCATGGTTTGAGAACCCTCGCAAAAAGTTACTTGAAACTATTGGAAGACATGCAACACAGCCAAGGCTTGAAAATACCAATAAGTAAACATATTTCAGCATGTACTTGGATTTTGAAAACACTGTGATGCAGAACAAAATGAGATGGAGGCTGAACTTCTTTAAAGGATGCATCACATCTGTTCACTTTTTGTATTTTTCTGCACGAATACTGCTACATATCTAACGGGAGACTTTGTCTTCAAGGCAATTACTGTATTTTGAAGAAGTTGTCTTTCCTTAAACAATGGTCATACAAAAAACGAGAGGAAGGCTGAGCTCCATTAAAGGATGTAGTTCCTCTTTCTACACTTATATAGTTTTCTTACAAGAATATGGGTTCTTATTTAACGGAATATCTGGTCTTCAAGGCAGATTGTCGCCTGTAAGCAGCACTTTCTTTTAACAGCAATCTTTCTTTTTTGAGGAATGCTGCGCTTTTTCACAGCAATACTCAGCAATACTGAATGTTAATCACACACTGCATATTGTGTAGGAATCTGGTGTTTTGAAAGGCATACTGTATGATTGAATGGAGGCTGAATAATTGTCTGAAAGGAAGACTGCACTTCTCCAGAAATGAACACTGCATGTTTAGGCAATGCTCTATATTTTGTAGGGATGCTGCCTCTGTAAAGGGCTCCGCCTTTTCACTTTGTTCTTTACCTTTGTCTACTTTTCTACTTGTTTGGAAGGATATCTCAAGCGATCTATCTATCTATATATATATTTATGCACATACACATATGTATATGTTATCTTTGTGGTTTGTTCATCTGAAAAGGTAGGTCTTAGGGGGGTAGCAAAAAAATATATATATAAAAATAAATATGGATATTGTATACAGTATGTGTATAATTATGAAGATACGTATATATATATATGTATACGTACGTAATATGTATATATATATTTTTATACACATACTTTTTTAGATGGGCAGCAGACAAAATTATTTACTAAATTTAATGCCATGCACAAATTAGGTCGTCCCTTAGTGGTTGTGAGGATTTCAGTACTCTCGAAAGAATCACAAATGGGGTATCGGTATAGAAGGTTTTGTGCAGCCTCAGAAAGGCCAAGGCGAAGCAAGACTAAATTAGTACTGCAAATAATTTTGTCGGTTACTTACATGGATATGCAAATGTAAAATGAAACAAAATATGAAATAGCATACCAGTAGTACCGCACAAGGCGGTTTTGGAAGTTTCAAAAATAGAAACCTATAGGAGGGGTTGGTTGTTGTGACTCACGGATGGCAGAGCGAAGCCACTGATCGACCGAAAGGTGCTCGAGGCCCCCTCTCTTTCTCTCTCTTTCTCTGACTTTCTACCTACCTCCTATCTATCTATCTCTCTATCGATCGATCGGT